TAATTAAATAACAATAAATATAAAAAATTTTCAATTAATTATTTTATTTTTATTTTAGTGGACAAATGGAGACAGGGAGTAATAATAATACTCACCGACCTCAGTATGGAAAACCATTTTATAATACTGACACTAATTTCTCATTAGAAGATGAAGAGCTAGCTGTAAGTTGTAGAGCTAATCATATACTCGACTACTTATGTGGTATAAAAAGGAAGAGTAGCCATAGACAATTTGATAGTGACCTTTCAAGGAAGATTAACAGAATCCCGGAGCAACTTTTATTTTTTACTTTTTTTTAATCACAATCAATTAGTTAATAAATTAATTAATCAATATCTAACCATGTATATCAAAACTCAATTAATTAGTCAATCTAGTAGACTTTCTTTTTGGCTAGAACTACTTCCAAGTGGTTGCCCTAGTCATCTTACTTATCAAGGGATTTTTATTATTCTATGATAATCAAGATTCAATTCTTAAAAGAGATTATGAGAAAGTCATTTTATTTTTTTTTGGATACATAAGTAATTTAATAATTCAATACATACAAATTTGTCTAAAATGAGAGGTTTAGGTAAGTGACAGGTAGAGTTCATGTGAATTATATATTCTATGTACAAATCACCTTTTTAAGTGGTAAAGATGAGACAAAGTATGAGGGTTTGGACCAGGAAAAATCCTGCTGTTACAAATGTGAATCATTAGTACCTTTCAAAGAGTAGTACCTTTTTTGGCCAATCCAAGAGTGGTACTTGGTTCCAGCTATTTTTTGTTCTCTTTTGGAAGGGAGATGGTGAGACATCTTCCCCACTAGCTAGCCAGCACAGTATGTATGACATTTGAAGTGGACGCATACTTTTATATGAACGTAGGATGTAGACCCATCTCACCAAAACTTTGTTCTGGTTTTGCTCACAGTATTTGGTTTTCCCACAATAACATTATCCATTATAAAAAGTAGATTATTCTCGAGGGTTTGATTAGGGTCAGATATATATTAAATTATTAAGGTCATGTATATATATTGATATTTTATATATAATAATTATTTATGATATTTAAAAAATTAATTATAAATAAATTTTAATTTATTAAATAATAAATATTAATTATTTTATTAATTAATAATTAATAATTAATAATTAAAATTATTTTATCAATTAAATTAAACATAATTCATAATTTAATTGATAATATTTAAAAATTTGTATAATTAACCCTAACATTCTAACGTGTGGTCGTAAGTCGTAACCATGACCCATGCCTAAAGACAGATTCTTCCCTCCTTCCTTTTGCTTCCAAAAGGCCTGTGGATCCACCACATATCCAACAACAATGTAGTGTATATGACTTTTACACCAGTAATTATTTATGATACTGCAACTATTAGTTAGTTGATATATATAATAAGCAGTGGTATAAAAATAATTTTTTTATATTATTTTTATATATTATTAAATGAATGAATATATTTAATATTATTAATTTTAAATAAATAAAAAATAAAATTTTTAAATAATATATAAAATTATATAAAATAATTATCTTTAAATTATTTTTTATATAAAATATAATATATCTGATCCTGTGGGCCAAAGATACAAAACCACTAATGGAGAAAACCAGGGACAGTCCCAGTTTGCTCAAACTTTATGTATGGATTATTAATTGTGATCCTCATGCCTGGTAGCTAGTTGGTTGGAATCAAGATAAGTTTCAACTTTTTGAATTTCTGGTGTATTCCTCCTTTCTTTTTCTTTTTTTTTTTTTGAAAATAGGTAATGGAATTCCTCCTTTCTTAAAATAATAGGTTTTTGTACTACATTATTTGTGTGAGGATTTTACTTTAATTATCATATTATATTACGGATCTCCCTTTCGTCTCCACAGAGGTTTGTTATTCAGAAATGATCTAATGAGACAATATTGGATTGGATTGCGTTATGACCAGAAACCGAAAAAACAAAACAAACCCCTTATTTCCTATACCCCACACCCACACCACCCTTATCATACCATTTTTGGTCATTCAATCTACAACTTCATGGGTGGATGCCACTTTTTGATATTATCTGACTCTTCAGATTGTAAAAAGAGCAGCTATAGAGACACGGACTTGGTTATGGCCGAATTTTGTTTTTGTTAGGGTCATCAAATTCTCTTTAAAAATATTAATTTTGTTTGATTTAATTATTAAAGATAATTAATAATTAATAAAAATAATTTATATTTATTATTTAATAAATACAAATTAATTTATAAATTAACATTTTTAAATATTATAGTTATTAATTTAAAATATTAATTAAATTTTAATGACCTTAATAAAACAAATAGTGGACAGAGAAATGGCTCACTCCGACTCAATAACATTGAATTTTGAATTAGAGTTGTTCACTTCTTGTAATTGCACATTTGAGCCACACAAAAATCTATTTCCTTAATCTCTAATTAACTTATAAATAATTACAATATGTTAAAAAAAAATAATAGGCAAAGAAACACCCTTTTAATTCCTTTAAAATTTTGTAAAAAAATCATTTAAAATCAAAACAAGATCATATCAAACAGTAACCAATAGATAGACACAAACACAGTCCTTTGATATTATTATTTAATAATTAATTAATCACTTACTTTACAAGTCATTCTTTATTAATTTCTCTAATTTTACAGGTAAGAGAGTTCCAGCTCAGTTTGTTTCCTTATTTAGTTTTTAAAATATAAATAATGATTCACATACAAGAAATGAGAAAATTAATATGTTTTAATATTAAAAATATCATACTATTTAATAATAATTATATAATAAATATGATAAAATTAGAACTCACATTATATTTTTATATTTAATGATTCTTAAATATATAATTTTATCAACTTTATATTACAGTAA